GCTCCCAATGCTCAAATTTGCCCCTAGTTTTTGTTTGAGGAACTTTATAGTTTTAGGTTTCACTTTAAGTCTTTAATCCATCTGGAGTTAGTTTTTATGTATGGTGTGAGGTACAGATCTTGTTTCATTTTTCTGCAAATGGATATCCAGTTTTGCCAGCACCATTTATCACACAGACATTCTCTTCACCATTTAATGGATTTCAGCCCTTTGCCAAAGATCAGCTGACCATAGGTCAATGGATCTATTTCTGGGTTCTCAATTCTGTTCCTCGGAATGAAGGTTGGGCAATCTACTTCTGTAGTGATACTGCCTCAGAAACCCAAGGAGGGGTCGCTATGAGTTGGATCTGACTTGATGGCAGTGAGTTTGTTTTTTGGTTGGTCTATGTGTCTGTCTTTATACTAATACCAGGCAGTTTTGACTGCTGTGGGTGTATAGTAGGTTTTGAGATAAGAATAAGTATTTTTAATAAATGTCCCAGGTGATTCTGTATAGGCATACAAATTAGGGGAACACTGATCTATTTGATGTGTTTTCTAGCTAATAGATGACCATAGGAGTAATTAGTTTAGGCAGGTCCTGTGGACTGACAGTTCTCCCATGAATTAATGATCTGGTTAACATAAATTCAGAAATATGAAAAGATGGAAACAACCTAGGTGCCCATCAACTGAAGAATGGATAACCACACTATGGTACATACACACAATGGAATACTATGCAACCCTAAAGAATAACATAGACTCTGCAAAATAGCACATAATGTGGATGAATTTGGAGGACATTATGCTGAATGAAATAAATCAGTCATAGAAGGAGAAATACTGTATTAGTTCGTTATTGTAAAAAGTCAAGGAACATTTATATATGGAGGAAATTTTCTTTGTTGTTTACCAGGGGTGGGAGGGAAGTGGAGGGAACATTGTTAGATAGGTAGAGACAAGTATTGATTTGGGTGAAGAGAAGGGCAGTGTACCCAATGGGTGGCATTTAGGAAGAGGAAGACCGAGAGAGGTACATGGGAGGTACAGACAACAACGATGAACCCTTTTGCACATACAGTACTGAGTTGTCAGTGAAGACAAACATAGATATACGGGTAGATAGATGGGTGGACAGACTGAACTATTAGATATGTCTGTGCAGGGGGGAGTGTGCCCAAGACCATGTATAGCACTGGCAGACAGTGTTTCTACAAGTGTACTGGTATGTTCTGTAAAAATTCCCAGGTGTATAGTACAGCTGACAAGGTACAAGGTTGTAGTCACTTATTGGTCACAGCCAGCTACCCAGAGGGAGTGAGTAGTAAGACCTGTGGGTTTGGGACCATAGTCGCAGGGGACATCAAGCTTAACTGGCATAACATACTACACAAAACATTGTTCCACCTCCTACTTTGGGGAGTAGCAACTGGGATCTTAAAAGCTTGCAAACGGCTATCTAGATGCAACGATGAGTCTCCTCATCCAAAGCAAAGAAGAATGATGAAAACCGAAGATTCGTGGCAACAATTAGTCCAAGAGACTAGTACCCCATGCAATACTCAGCGTATATGACTATGAGACCAGAAGAAGGAGATGGTGCCTGGCCACCACTGTCAACCACTCAGAGGGGGATCTATCTAGGAGATCTTTGATAGAGTAGGAGAATAATGTGGAACAAAACTCAAAATCATTTGGAAATAAAAAAGGGGACTAGGTTTGCTGGTCAGATAGAGCCTGATGGAACCAGAGACTATGGCCCCTAGCTGCCCTTCAGGTCTGGAATTGAACCCACTTCTGTGGCTTCCAGCCAAACAAAAGACAGGCATATGAGGTGAACATTTACCCTAGGTAGATACATGCTTTGGAGAGAACAATCATGGGAGAATAGAAGAGCTGTATATGCGCAGGGAGACAGCTCAGGGGGCAGGAGTGCATGGAGGGAGGACACAGGGAAGAGGTAACTATGGGGAGGAAGAAGGAGGGAAGCTGTTGTATTGTGGGAGATTGCAGTCAATGTCATGAGACAAAGTGTATGTGAGCTACTGCATGGAAAGTGAATTTGATCTGTAAACTTTCACTGAAATCATTAAAAAAAAAAAAATCAGAAATATGATTTTATCCCTTCATGTGGAATAGATAAAGAGCTATGTGAAGGTTAATGAATTTTAGAAACACTTGTTCATAAACTGGAATCCTGTCTTTTTAATTTATCATGGACAATATAACCAAAAAAACATCAGCTTTAGTCATTGATTCAGGCTTCAGTGTTCTCGTAGTAGGTTCTCCCATATGGATTGTAAAAAAATATATTTTTTAATGTGGATAGAATTAGAACATACAGGGTTGGATATTCCAAAGGATATTCCCATGTAATTATTACAGAATTATGCTTTCCTACCCTGGGAATATTTCCATCTAAATGACCTGTATTTGTCTTTAGGAGTAAAGTAACATCTCCCTAAGACAATGCTGAGTTCTTGCTCCTCAGTGTCAATTTTCTGAATTCAGAGTAGCCTATCCCCTCCTTTCGTAACAAAGTTACGTCAGGCTTGCTGAGTACTATATAAGGTTCTTCATGTGCACCATTTCACTAAGGATGATAGCAACCTATGAGGCAAGTATTATTTCCATTTTATAAATGAGGGAACTGAGGCTCAGAGATTTGAAATGATTTATTAATATAAATAATACTTACATTTTATGAAGTATCATAAGTCAAGGATGGACTGTTTGGTTTATATACATTATTTCATATAATCCACATGTGAAATGGAGAGTATTACTTAGTTTAGAAGATGAGTCATCTGAAGCTAGAAAGGTTAAGTAGTTCAGTCATTCATTAAGATAGTAAATTAAGATGAGCAGCAGCGAGTGTAGGGAAGGTCAGTGGATGATGGATAAAGATGATTCATCCACTTTTAGACGTCTGGTAAACAGTTGACGTTTTTAGTCTGAAATTTCAGTGAAAGATCTGGATCAGAGACAGTGATTTAGGAATACTGGGCATAATGATGATAATTGACATAATCTCCCAATTGGGCAAAACTTTTTCCACCTTTCTTGCTAAAATACATTGATGGTCTGTATGCTAATCATACTGTACTAGTTGTCATTCTCTAAACATGGCTTCTGCTTCCTATTTGTCTGTGCCTTTGCTTGTGGTTTTCTCTATCTGAAGATTTCCCTTTCTTCTCATATCTCCCTGTGGAAAGTTCATCCTTCTTTCCTAGGTGTATCCCCCTAATTAGAATTACTTCCTCTCTCTGCCCAGTACGCTTTGGTTCTTTTTTAATGTACTTAGTTACAGACTGCTTCATGTTATGGTTGCTAGGATGTGCTTTTTTCATTCCCCAGATAACTTGTGAGTCCTCTAATGCTGCAGCTGAATTTTGGTTTCTTTTATGTCCCAGCTTCATCCCATGGTAGATAATCAATAAATATTTTTTAATTGAGTTAATAGAATATGAAATTTTTTAACCTTATTCCTAAATTATCAGGATATATCCCAATTGGATGGTGTAGCCTTTTTTATACTGAGAAATGAGTTCTGTTAGTTGCTTTGTCTATGCCAGTGGTCTGGACTAATGATTTTTAAAGTAGGCAGCTTTGTATATTGATTTAAATAACTTAATTTAGAAAGTAACCTCCAGTTTTCAATCACTAACCATTTTGAGAATAACATTTTTATTACTTACATGTAATAGTGCTATATTATTTATTTTTTAACAAAAAATTATATTTTTAAAACAAAGATACATTATGATAGGTTATATGCGTATTTGTGTTAGTATATGAATAACTTTTTGTCTTTTAATGATTTTTTTACTTTTTAATGTATTATGTTTTGTTTTGCTTTGTTTTTCCAGTGAATATGGCTTTGCTGAAAAAGTAGTTGAGGGTATTACTGTTTCTGTAAATTCCATTGTTATCCGAATTGGAGCAAAAGCCTTTAATGCATCTTTTGAGCTTTCCCAGCTACGGATATATAGTGTAAATGCAAACTGGGAACATGGAGATTTAAAATTTACTCGTATTCAAGATCCACAGAGAGGAGAGGTAATGTTTTTTTTCTCCTTTAAAAATATTTTAGTCAGTGATGAGTAGGACATTTAAAATAATCACTTCTCATAGGAGCTCTGGTGGCATACTGCCTAAGGCATTTGACTGCTAACCAGAAGGCTGGTGGTTCAAATCCACCAGCCACTCCTCATAAGGAAGATTGGGCAGTCTACTTCCAAAGTGATATTGCCTCAGAAAGCCAAGGAGATCTGACTCCATGGCAGTGAGGTTTTTTTTTTTTTTTTTTTTTGTATAGTTGCCAGATTCGCATTGCCCTAGATTGACTTTTGTCTCTGGTGGCATAGTACCTAAGGCATTTGACTGCTAACCAGAAGGCTGGCGGTTCGGACCCACCGGCCACTCCTCGGAAGTAGGATTGGGCAATCTACTTCCGTAATGATATCGCTTTAGAAACCCAAGGAGAGGGTTGCTATGAGTCGGATCTGACTCGACGGCAGTGAGTGTTTTTTTCTTTCTTTTTTTTTTCCTCTATAGTATTCTCAGGAGCTTTAGTAGCATAGTGCCTCAGGCACTTCACTGCTCACCAGAAGGCTGGCGGTTCAAACCCACCAGCTACTCCTCGGAAGGAAGGTTGGGCAATCCTGCTTCCGTAGTGTGATACTGCCTCGGAAACCCAAGGAGGGGTCGCTGTGAGTTGGGGCCAACTCGACGGCAAACAACAACAACAACAACAACAACAACATAGTATTCTTAGTTATTTAGTTTTAATATGTGCATATTTTAGTGTTTTTAACTATAATCTTTCAGTTTATAGAATTAATGAGCCTTGTTTTATCTTCTCAGCTATTTACAATTACATTTTAAAATGTTATTTAAATTCTTAATCACAATAATCTCGTACTTTGTTAATTAAATTATTTACTTAGAATAAAAATAATATCAGCTTTCCAAATGATGGATATAATTATAAAAAGTTGGTACTGAATTTGATATAAATATATAACTTAAAACAAAAAGTGTGGGGAATATATCTAAGGTATCATGAAAATGAGTTCAGATTCATTTTTATTTTGCTTATTTCATTTTGTTTTTACAGATCTGCATTTTTCTCACTCTGTTTTGCATGAGTAAATGAAGCTACTTTCTGTGCTTTCTTTAGGTTTTGACATTTAAAGAAATAAATTGGCAGATGATTCGAATAGAGGCCGACGCTACCCAAAGTTCACACCTTGAAATTCTGTGTGCTCCTGTTCGATTAATAACCAATCAATCAAAAATCAGAGTCACATTGAAAAGAAGAGTAAGTCAACAGGGTTACTTTTTTTGATGTATGTGTTGACTGTAGGGATCAGCAGGACATTTAAAATAACCGTGAGGTAAGAGATCAGTGTGCTTGTTGTTGTGGTTAGCTGTAATTGAGTTGGCGCCAGCTCAGGGCAACCTCATATGTAACAGAACATAACATTGCCTGGTGCTGTGCCATCACCATGATCTTTGATTAGCACGCTACTGGTGGCAAATTAGAGCAATTCAAAGTAAAGGAGGTACAGTGCTTCAAGCAATATTTGTAGAAATCCATTATAATTATAACATTTCTCTGTCTTCTAGATTAAATATCTAGATTTTTGAAAGAGTTTTATTTGTGATAAATTGAGTGTATTTCTCAGTTGCCAGATAAGTATTGTGTTAATTTTTTTTTCTCCTATTGAGTCTTGCTTAGGGTTAAATAACAAACCCTTCCTTATCATTAACAAAAATGATTAGCTTTGTGAGGTTATTAGGGTATGACTGATAATTAAGGTAAATAGAGGAGACAGTTACTTAAGGATTTCAGAATTTTCTGGGAAGGGTTTGTTAGAAGTTGAGTGTCTACACTGATGAAATTTAATTTGAAAGTGATTTTTTAAAAAACCATAGCTCAATTAAATGTCTCAATAATAGGTTTCATACCATGAGACACAAATCACTGTACTAAATTAAAATGAAAAAATTTTTTTAGAATGTAGTACTTAACATATATTCTGAAATATTAAATGTGGTTAAAGTAGCATTTTAGTTTGGAATTAATCTTAATTCCCTGTTCTCAACTAAAATTAGTTGAATTAATATAGAAATTACATGATTTATTAACTATAAATGCAAAATGAAATTAACTTTTTTTTTTTAATATTTTCCCTCATTTTATTCTTTTTTTTTTTTATTAGGATTTGGGTGAAGATTTACAGAGTAAATTCACTTTTCATACAGCAGTTCACATATACTTTGTCTCATGTCATTG